ATGCACACTTACTTTGGCATCCTTAAAATCAACTTCAAACAAGGTAGAATATGAGACGTAACGTCCGAACATATTGGAACAGGTCTGACGTTTGTGGCAAAAAAAAAAAAAAAAACCTTGAAAATCGTGGATAGACCTCCCGCCGTCATGGACTTAGATCCATTATAAGGAGTAGGTACCACTCTCCAAGATGGCGCCCACATATATATACATCTCAAAAGGCGTGGAAGTGGCATCTACGTGTATTTATATCTATGCTATCCGAAATTATGACAAAAAGCCGATAACAAATGAAGCTTTTAAACTTGTTGTGTCAAGCATCACTTTGATTAGCATCTTTATATTGTTTCAAATCACCCTTCTTTATCTCTAATCAATGATCCATACTCTTATAAACGCGGACACCTTTCAAGGTAGTCATGGAAGAGATCCTGCAAGGTGCAAAGTCCCAGGTACTCACTTTGTTGCTTAGCAACAGCGAAGGCACTGGCCCCCCATTTTTTTTTTCCTTCCAGAAAACAACCTCAGTGTCCAAAATAAATAAAGATAGAAGGACCACACGGTGAACCTCTTGAGCGGGGTTAAGTCTCTGGGAATCACACTCAGCAAACAGCAGGGAGAGCGGCTGCGAAAGGCCAACGAGTTGTTTATGTGTGGTAATTACACTCTTTACTCTTAGGACGTAAACAAACAGCTTCATCTATGGATTCTTTAAAGGGGCGGAATAGGATGATTTCGGCCTCCTATACCCATGAAGATAACATTGTGAAATGCTTCATTAAATGAGGTGTTGTTAAAAGACAAATTATGAATTCCTGACACAATTAGACGTCTTATTTTTAGACTCTGACGAAGATTGAAAATGAATGCAAATGCTGTTTACGGCTTTGTCCTTCATTTTCTGAGAGAAAATGAAAGAAAACACCCTCCGAACAGATCAAAAGGGCTACTAGACTACTAACAACACAACCAAGGACTCCTTATCAAAGACGACTGGCTTTATCTCATTAAAGCAGGCGAGAAAAAGGGGGGAAAAAACTCCAGTTCCAAGGGGAAATGAAACAGTTTTGCCCGTATTTGCTTTGTTATTTAGCTGGAACAGCTCAAATTAATTACTCTCATCTTCCTCACTCGATTCATTATTCTAGCTGTAAACACATTAGTCAAATGAAATGTCTCCAAGCACACCTGGCATTCTTATCTTCCTCCCGCTATAGACGACAGGTCGGTGCAGCTTTCCAACGCGCTGCAAGCAGAGTCTTAAAGAAACCCGGCGCCTTTTCTGGGATATGGTACCTGCCGCCTCCTCTACCGATAGCTGCCTCCCAGGAAGCCTTAATGTATGAGATTTGTCAGTGTCAATTTCCCAGCTAATCTCTCTGGTCCACCTCGCCGCTGCCTCTGCCGCCCATTCATTCTGCTGCTCTGTCTCTACCTGCTCACGCCATCCTGGGAAGGATGCAGCGGGAGGCCGGGGGGGGGAAACACATCTGTGATAGCTGCTGCCGCAGCAGCGTGACCCTGCATGTGCAACCAGCAGGAATGATACACATCCAGGGACAACTGGGCTAGCTCATGCATACTTATTTATTTCACCGATGATTTACTAAAGGTATAATTTAGAGTCTATAACATAGATAAGGTCTGCTTTTCTGAATGACACACTGAAATACACAGAAACAGCTTTAAAGACAGACCAGAAAACTGACATTCATGATTTAGTTTTAGTTTATTTTGAATCAGGGACAGTGTACAGAGTAATTTTTTTTTTCTTTAGTCCCTAAAGGAAATTCTGGTTTACACTGTTATTTAGAGACACACATAGGCCCCAAATACACACACATGCACAAACAGGACCTGTGGACATGCATGAGTTGAGAGAAGTCAGAGTGGGGCTGCTATGCAAGGAGCCTGCCAAAGCTGTTGGGGGTTCGGTGCCTTACTCAAGGGCTCGGGAAGTGCCCTGGCGCCTCTACAGATCTAAGACCAACTTCCATATTTTGGTCCACACTGAGACTTAAACCAGTGACCCCCCCCCCCCCCCCCACCCCCAGTTCCCAACCCAAGTCCCTATAGACTGGCACCCAAAAGCTGCTACCACTGGAGAGAGAAAATGCTTTGTACCAGATTTAGCTAACTAGTTTATTTCCATCTGTAGTCCCTAGTCCAGATGACGGCAAAAGTAAAATATAGATCAATCACTCATCTATTCACACGCACACACACACACACACACACACACACACACACACACACGCACACACACTTGCAGTAAGAGAGAAGAAGAGCACAGAACAATATACAGACAATAAAACATTATCTACACGTTTCCCTGAGTTGTAGAAAAGTTGTTGAGATGACAAATTAATGCTGGTTCCTTAAAATCCATGTTTTTGACTTCAATGGGAGAGAGTGTGCGCAAATAATTGACTCCATTGTTACAGGCCTCTTAATTCTGTTCAAAATGACCACACTTGCACATTTGAACCACAGTGAAACATGTAAAAACCTACACTGTGATTAAACCAGTTAGTAAGTTTAAATACCTGAGGCTTTGTTTTAAAGGATTATTTTTCAATAGTAGTTCTTTAACACAAACGTAATGTCTACAAATCTAAAAATTTTCCTCCAAGTACAGATCAGATATAGCTTCAGCTTTTACTGGATGCACTCATAAAATGCAAACAAGAGTGACAGTGTAACAGGGTAATGTGGATTCTCTAAGACTCAGAGACGCTCATTGTGCAGTTCACCCGGCTCAGAACAGTCAGAACTTTCAACACTGTGACACTCAAACACAAAGGAGGGATCAACGGCTAATCAATAGAGAAAGCTAAGCTCTTTGTTTCAAATTCTTGCCCTGGCTTCTAAATCCTGAACCTGCTTTTTTTAACAGTGTCAGAAAGCAGCATTCCTCAAGGAAAGAGGGAGTCTAAGTTTCAGCGGAGCAGAATTTGGCAGGCACAGAGGTGTAATTTGCGTTAAGTTCTGCAGAGGGAGAAGAAAATGCTAATTTAGGCTACGTTTTAAAAAAAAAAAAAAGGTTTAAATCCTATGCTCATTACTGTTGGACGCTGGTGTGCTGCAAAGCCTCCCAGCCAGTAATATTACAACACTTAATTAAAATAATTCTGCAAAACATTCAATGAAGACCTTGACTTCCATTAGACTTCAGACTTCAGAGGATGACATTCAAACTTTTCCAATGAAGAAAAGAAAAGTTGCAGCTTCCTCAGAGCTGCAAGTGTTCGACAATGATTATTTTTATTTTGGGGACTGGGAACTTTTTCTCTCTTTTTTTTTTTATTTTTTTGCAGTTTGAGTGTTGATCACACACTTTCTTGTTCCCAAGATTCCCTGCTGTGTTTGGTCCTATCAGAGGACGCCAAATATCCCCCAAGTACAATATTAACACGGATTCATTTCTGCAGTGTGTTCACACATTTCCACCAGAATAATCTCACACAGACCCCCTGATTTAACACCATGCTCATAGCTCATATACAGTGTTTACAGGTTTGCAAGGAAAGTCATGCCCTGCTCATGTGACATTTTTTAGTCCCTGACGTAAAGAAATCTGAAATAGATATGTCATGTATGTGTGTGGATATAAATGTGTTTTAAAGACATGCGTGCACAACGACTCTAGGGAGGAGGGGGCGAGGGCTCTCTAATGTTTTGGATTTGGACTGCAGTACAACATGTAGTAGTATCCTGACCTTTAATTGCAGTAAAATATGTTATAATGCAATATTTGACTAACTCTAATCTATTTTTTTCTGAAATCTGAGAGTATTTTAGGCGTTCTTGGAGAGAACTCTCAGTAACCCTCTGCATGAGAACAATGTGTGTGTGGAGGTGCATGAATATGATGAATTACATCTCTCAAAAGTAGCCCAAAGGTCCTCGTCATTTGACATCCATGACAAAGATGAATTACTGAAGTAGCTTTAAAGGTCAATGAACTCCTAATCTACAGGGTGACAACGAGCCAAGAGGTAGGACTTAAAGTGACAGTTTGTATTTTGGGAAGTATGGGGTGTAGGAAAAAATCAATTCATGTCAGAATGGCAATTATTCATTTCTGTAATTGTGAATCGATTCCAACATGTAAAATTAAATTTTCTCCAAACGTCCTATACATTTTTTTTTTTACCAGCAACCGGTTTTATACACTGCAGACTCCCTGCTAGTATTTTCCTCCGTGCACCCTCTCCACTTTCCTTTGTACACTGAAGCAGCAGGGGGTGTGTCAGCCCCGGCTCAGCAGCTGCTTCCTTACATTAGCTAGCTCTTAGCATCAGTAATGTATGTCTAAAGGTATAATTTAGAGTCTATAACATATATTAAATATACGAGGTCTGCAGAATGAAAATGAGATACTTTGTGAACAATTCAAATGCCCGAGCTCACATCATGTGGCGACACCAGGAGTAGACTTAAGTGGAACAGCGCCCAACAACATCTCAGCAACACCCACTGCACCGCTTTAACGATCAGCCAATCACTTCACATCCATCGTTGTTTCATTTCAAAGACCTGCGTCAACAGTAAAGCTTTAGATTTATGATCACAACATTTTTTCAAAGGCAACTGTCTGATATATACTTTGTTAGCTGGCTTAAGCCATTTTTTTAGTATGTTTACATGATTGCAATCAGCAGATAAGAACATTACAAATGAAAAAGCTGCATCGTCTTGTGAACATTTTATTGAGCTAATGTCTAATAATCATTTTCAGTTTCTTAGTGCTCAGCAGACTGAGGTAGATCCTCAAGAAGCAACCCTTTATGGCGGAAACAGAAAGTGTTTGACCCTGTGACGTTGAAGCATTTCTTTATAATTCAAACTGAGCAGCATCTGCGTGAAGCTGCTTGTATATGGGCCAGTGACAAGACAGCCCTGAGAAGTGTGTGTGTGTGTGTGTGTGTGTGTGTGTGTGTGTGTGTGTGTGTGTGTGTGTGTGTGTGTGTGTGTGTGTTGCATCCTCTTATTCTTACCTTGACATTAATTATTCATCCAGCTGCATTCCATTTAGATGTGTAGAAACTGAAGCGTCATGTGTCTAGGCTCACTGCAGTGTGTCTGCTGCAAAACAACAAAGAGAACAAAAGAGAGTATTAACATGTGAAGTAAGCAGGGTGATGTGGTAATAAACGTTTTGGTAATATGGGATCCTACTGTGTTAAGTTATCATACATGTTTTTTAGATTTTTCAACAAATGAAAGCAACAAAACATATAAACATGAGTCACTGAAGTTTTGCATGTTTACAGATTTTCTAAAAAACACAGTTTATAGTATTTAACAACTGTTGAACGATATTCTTCAAGGATATTACGTTGCACATCATTGTCATACCCTGACTTTTATATGAATATAAAAGTTCTGACTGTTGCTTCCCTTTCTGATATGAAATAACTGACAGGTATAAATCATTCAGCAGGTTATTATCATGCAGGATCCTGAATGTTTAAGATGCATGTTCCTCTACATTCTCTGCGCCATGCTTCCTCTCTTGACGTTCAGTCAGAAGTCACACTTGCCAAAAGGTTAGTGAAGGCAACCGCTTGGGGCTCCAGGACTGTTGGAGGGCCTCCTGAGGGCTGGCAAACTGTAGACCACAGCAGTGACTCAAAATGTGCAAAAGTTTGCAATGACAAGTAGGAAACCTCCCTAAGGGGACCCCGTTGATAGAACTCACTCGTGCTGTGCTGTAAAGTGTAACATGCATAATTCCTGTAAAATTACAAGTTTGTCAATGAAAGTCACTGAAGAGGAATTATCCGTCTGGAAGTGAAAACAGGAAGAGGAAAAATACAATGGAGCAGATCATCAGATTAAATATTCAATGACTAAATGCTGCTAGTCTAGCCTTAACAATAGGGGAGAGACAGTTGTGTAACTTAATTCTGCTTGTTTTAAATAATCAAATTTTTGTTATAATGTTCAACAGAAGTTAGTTTAGCTAGCAGAGCAGACCTTATGTGTCCATCTCTGTTGGTTGTGACCGGGAGTAAGAGTCGAAACACCAGCAATCGACTTGTTAACGTCGACACATCGGACATGTTGATGCAGGAGTTGGGGCTCGAACCCTGGACCTTCCAATTGAGAGTTGACAACTTTACCAACTGAGCCACAGCCGTCCCCCTGTGTGGAGGGGCCCGCTGTAAATTTCTGCCTTGGGCCTCAACTCACACTAGAACTGCCGCTGGTCAAGTTTTACACTAGAATCTGGCACCATGACTAAGAATGCTTTTGTTCTGCCTTGCACTAAAACAATGTTTTGGTGGTCTTTCCTTTAAATCTTCCTGTTCTTATGAAGGTTATTAAAGCCCAGTGTTCAACATAAAATCTGACCTGTCAATCTTAATCCTTCTGCTGAGCAAACACTGTGACGAAAGTTCATCAGCCATCTGTCAAGAATGTACAGAAAAGTCCGCTTAGAAATACATGGCAGTAAAGTATTACGAAAATACCCGTAATCCTGTAAGAAGTGGCTTCCTGCAGTTTTGTTTTATGCCAGGAATTTTGAAACCTCACGCTTTACGACGCATTGATTTATATCCTGCTAAGCATAAGGCCATCAATCTGCAGTGTGTGACATAACGGCTCGTTCAGGGCTGTCTGGGGAGAAATTATCACGCTCGATGATGTCGATGAGTTAAAACCCATAGAACAGATGCACGCCTGATGCTGGATTCAAAGCACAATGCAACATTTCACTTCAAAGCGCAGCGGGCTCTCCAGAGACAAACTGCTGAAGGTACGGAGGAGCGTTCTGCAGGAGTCTGGAAATCTTCTCTAATTCAAAGGAAACTGACAAACAGGGATTTTAATTACACACTGTCCAAGCTGTGCTGATGACCATTATGTGTCAATGTATCTTCTATAAAAATACAACAATTATGCATCAGTGGTCCCATCCACAAAAAACTCTCATTCATTTACATTAAATACAAGTGTAATGTGCTGTTGAAAGATGAGAAGATATCACTGGTTTTAGAAGAACGCCACCCGTTATCCTGTGACTTAACATTAAATAAACTCTTAAATGTATTACCTGCTTCACTTGGACTCCAGAAGACTTTATTTCATTGTGACAACCTTAAGCCCTCGCCCAAAGTAATATGTAAAACAGCAAAGGAAGTCTATTTTTCTGCCTTTTCTGAGCCAAAATTAAAGATTTAAAGTGCCAGACTGGGAGCCAAATGTGCTGTGGAGAGCACATAAAAAAATGAAACATTTCCAAGTGCATATGTGATACCATTCTGTTTTTTTCTCCTCATTGTTGAGATGGCCGTAAAAAACAGTGCAGCTTTGTGCTGTACATTATCATATAATAATGCCACTAAACTGCTGTGGGAATCATTTTAATGGGCCAAAAACAAGAGAGAGTCCTGAGTCACGTCCAAACTAATGCAACAATAAGACTGGACTGCAGTAATAAAGCAAACAGCGGCCTAATAGCTGACCCGGGAGACTTGATTATGCTGTTTCTGTAACCCATTACAGCAACGCAGGCAGTAAAAAGCCATCATAGTGACTAAACTTCAGCATAATGACTCTTGGTTATTGTGAACAAGATGTACACCGAATGTGTGAAAAGTCCAAAATAGCAGAACAAAACACTGTGGCATCGTTTCAGCTCCAATAGGAGCCATTTTCACAGTGTATGAATTCACATTCAGCTCTGAAAAGGACACCTTTTGCCTTTTTCAAGCTGTTGTGTTCAAGTTGTTTTAAAATATCTGTGAAGGTGTTTAGGAAACATTCAGTTTGAACTTTTTTATGAACCTTGTTTTTTCCTGTCAAAATGCATGCATATAATCAGAGGTGGTGAAGTAAACAAGTAAAGGATTGTTTAAAGTGTTTTTTATTCAATAATAAGACTGGACACAAAGCGATGCAACACAAGACGATTTACAGCTCAATGTCCACAGAAAATGTTCTTAGTGACTGTTTTTATTGTTTTTTGGTTGAATGAGTCTGCAAATTTTTAAAATAGAAATCATCAATTTTGCATATACAGGACAAGACAATCAAAGAGAGGAGAGAAGTATGACTTTGTCCAACCAAAGGGGGCGCCAAAATCAACTAACCAAAGATTCCTCACATTTACCATAAAGGTTTACTGTGCAAGCAGATTTCCAGCACCAGGTACGCACTCTATGGACACAACCCACCCACTCCCCTCTTGCCATAATCCATTTCAACCTAACCCTACATAACCCTTTCAATGCATCCCAAGGCAGTTGTGGCCTAGTGGCAGAGTCGGTCGTCTCTCAACCTGAAGGTTCAATCCCAGGCTCCTGCTAGCCCAAGGACACATGGGCACTTTACCCCAAGTTGCGGTTTGAGGAGACAGAAGACTAGAAAAGATTAAGTCAAGTCCATTTACCGTGAATAAATGGCACAGAAACAGAGCATATCATGGATGGATTTTTCAGAAAAGTGTTGTCTTGATTAAAGTTAAAGTGATTTAGGTTTAATGTTCCCCAATGACAACATGAGCTTCAGTCAACTTTGTACAAAAACAGCACTTGTCCTTCTCAAGGGATCTTTTACTTATATTCAGTGAGCTCATTTCAGAGTCCATATTTTTACTTTCATGAAGAAGTTGAATCAGTACTTTGGCTTTAACCACTCTTTTTTCCCAAACACTTGTACTTGTGATTGAATAAAAAAAACTTGCACTTTTGCTACCTCTGCATATCACAACTCGATTCAAAGCGGACTCTGTGCGTTCAAGTCCTTTTAGAACTTGAACGCACTGTAAACCTGCCAGACATTAGCATAATAAAAGGGAGAAACATTGACACAGCATGCTTCACAGTCATGCTTAATTCCTGCTCGCCCCACAATGGGAGAAAATATTATCAGTGCTGTCGTAAACACAAGTACAAATCCCTGCTGTTATGGCGCTCCCACTGAGAGACTTCTGATGTTTCCCAGTCATTTCCATTCCACTGGCAGCATTTGCATTTGTTTGATTTCCAGCAGCAGTGTGCAATGTCTCTTTGTGCAACAATTCAGACACAAATAAATTAAGATCTATCCTTCCTCGCAAAGATTATTTATCGCTCTTCTCAAGCTGTCTGAACTTTGAAAACAGCTTCGAGATATGCATTACTATTCCCACACCGGTCGCCCACTGCTTTGACGGTAGAGACTGCAGTCTGCTGTTTGCCTGTGCATGTTTTTTCTATAAAATATCTGCCTTATACAACAGCTTATAAAGGATTTGTTTAGCTGACTTTGGCGTGCACATGCAGGATGAATCATTGTAATGTAATGCATGCCTATAGCTACAACCCCTCTGCTAATCCTTCTGCAGAAAATCAATTTTTCACATCGGCTTCGGCTGCCCTGAGGAAGACAAATCACAAAACTAGTCAATGTGCCGATCAGAATCAAAAAGACTTGAATCAGACGGAGCAGAGTCGGTGTAATGCCTTGTGAACAATCAGTAACAAGTCCCTGCCAGAATGGGAACACGTTGTTTCATTCTCATCAGCCCCTCAAAAAGACAAACATGGGATAATTAGGATGATTAAGACGAGCAGAGACTAAAGGCCAACAGTGTTAACAGAGCTGCAGATAATAAAAGGATTAGGGGTGATTCACTTACAGAAGCTAATGGCATTTTCAAATAGAGAGAGAAAAAAAAAGGAATTAATTAGCAAATGTGAGTGACGGCTGAGAATCACTCGGTTTCACAGCAGAGATTGAGCAATTCAATCCACAACAGGTCCGCCTGTCTGGGAGGAAACCGGAAAAAGTCACTTAAAGTGTCACAGAGTCAGGTGAAAAACAGGGGGAAAAAATGGCACCTTTAGGAAAAGAGAGAGCAGATCTGCAGCCGGCAGATGAGCACTGACCCAATCTGACCCACTTCTCACTGATTTATGGTTTATGGTCCCTCAGCAGACACTGCTTTGTTCTGGGGGGGTCATAAATCTCCTGCACCTCAGAGCCGATCAGCTGACCCTCCAATCCTGGCAGAAGCACCCCCCCCCCCTCCCCCCCAAATCCCCTCACCTTTCAAACAGACCCAGCTCTCAACACAAAGCAGAAATCATCCGATA